CAAAGTCAAGATCTTTTATCCTAAAAAGTCAACTCTTACTACTGGTTTTATCCATTCAATTGGCGCCCATTTCCATCTAATTAGCATCTGTTTCCATCTAATTAGAACCCATTGACATCTGATTGGCTTCCATAGAAATTGAATTTGTATCCATTGCCAACTGAATTTGCTCCCATTGCCATCTGAATTTGCTCCCCCCCCCCCTTTTACTATTGGCGGAAGGGTACATGACACTCAATTTTTTTATCCTTGCGCCTTACAATTTTTTTTATATAACCATAGTATTTTTTTTTGTAAACGTCATATTTTTTTTATATAACTGCCATATTTTTTTATATAAGTGCCAAACGCCTAATGTAATAGCACTTCAATATATGTAGATCTTTCTACAAAGATACGTCATAGAAAATATCTATAGAGAGAACTAACAGAATATCCAAACTTTTCTCCAGATTACTTTGTCAAAGTTAAATACCTTACTGCAGTTATAAGATAATAAAGCAAGTATCTCATTATAATAATTATGTTAAGATTGAAAATGCAATGATATTATTTGTATTCTTTCTTTATTGCAGAGTAAGTTTCGAATAAAAGATTCATTTTTTCATCACTTGTAGCCTCCTTGTTGTTTTTAATGAAAAAAACAACTGGAGACTTTCTCCACTTCAAAATATAGCCACCAGCAGTTGTTTGTTTCATATTTACTATCTTGCTGGCTTTTTCGATAGTTAATCCTCTTATGAAGTAGAGATAAAGAAGCTTTTTTATATATTTATCCGTAGGCTTTTGATATTGCCCTCTACTTTTTTTGGGGGTTTCATCTGTTGTTGACGGGGCAGAACTTTTTGGATCTTCTGGCATTTCAGGCTCTTCAGGCTCTTCCATAATTTTTTCAAAGGCACTGTTATATTCTTCAAGTTTCTTGTGTGACATTTTAGGGTTTTCTGATAATAAAAGATGAAAAAATAAAGAAATAGAAAGATATGTTAAAGTGACATATTTTATATAAATACAGATATATCTAGTATATAGTTGTTATAATAAAATAGTAATTACTTAAGATGCAAGATAAAAATCAGAACACAAGTTGAAGCAGCAAGAATAGATGTAAAGAAGATTGAGTTGTTATTAAATAGTATTAGTCATTATATTTTCAGCTTTTTATATCAAAAAATAATATTCTAAGGTCCACTAAATAAAGTAGTACAAATTGAACTCAAGGAGATAAAAAATAAATAGGACAATATATTACCCGCAGCCATAAATTTATTATAAACATTCTTTTTTAAAAGAGATATCATAATTCTCTCTTTTTTCATTTGGTGTTTATATACCAAAACTGTTTATTTCTCTTCTTAAATCAGCAATAAATCTCATTCTCATGCTCACTTCAACAACTAAATATTACTCTGACAATTAAAACACTGCCTAAAGCTCTACACCTCATGGATTTTTTTATTATTTCCAGATCACATTATGTTTCTGTATGTAAATAAAGCCTATACCTCAGAGTCATTGATATTAATCTCTAAATAATCTATAGTATTTTGAACAAAAGCTATAAATCTGAAAAGAAAACGTGACAATTCAACCCTTCACCTACAAAGAAACTACAAGATCAAACATCTACCTGTACAATAGGAACCAGTCTACACATATTCATAATGCTTTTAAGTGCATTTCACCAACCATACTTTTTCGAAATCCAACAGTAGAATTCACTCTACCAACCACACAAAAACTTGCCAATTTTTATCTCAAATATCCAGTAATCTGATTGACTACCACAGCAATTGTATTTCTTATGAACCTGGTCCTACACAAGCATCTAATATCATTACAAAAAAGAATCCAAAAATGCTATATTTATTCAGCACCTGCTCCAACCATTTTACAATGTCAGAATCCTGATCTTCTTAATATCAAACTCAACAACTCTTTGTAATCTGCACTCAAAACAAGTAAATATCCAACAATCTGTTAAACAACTGAAAGCGGTCCAAGAATTATGCTTTGCTCACAATACTACCCGATATCAATTTTGGAAACCCTCATGATACAAAATACAAAAAAAAACCAAATATTACACACACAAAAACAGTAACAAAAAATAGCACAAGCTCATGACAAAAAAAAGAAATAAAAAAAGAGATGAAAAAAAAAGAGATGAAAAAATAAAAAAAAAAAGAAATAAAAAAAAAAAAATAAAAAAAAAAGAAATAAAAAAAAATAAAAAAAAGAAATAAAAAAAAAGAAATAAAAAAAAAGAAATAAAAAAAAAGAAATAAAAAAAATAGAAATAAAAAAAAAGAAAAAAAAGAGAAATAAAAAAAAAATGTAATAGCAATTTTAAAAATAATTCTCCAAATAGTATAACTAGCATTTTTATTCATAAATTTTTATAATATACATAACCATTTTTTTGCAAATAATTTCTGAAAAACTGAAAAACTGAAAAACTGAAAGTCTCAATAACTGAAAAAATGAAAGTCTCAATAACTGAAAAACTGAAAATCTTAATAACTGAAAATAAAATAGTATCTAACCGCAGAAATTTCTGAAAAACTGAAAATCTCAATAACTGAATTTCAAGCTTTTCCTTGGCTCTATACAAAAAAAAACTTTCTTTTTTTTTTATTTTTTTTTTATTTTTATTTTTTATTTTTTTTTGGTTGGGCAAACCCATGAGGAGAAATCCCACCCCTTCCTTCAAGACAGAGGACAGGACACCATAAAGGCTCTGGTAGCACTGTAAATCGGCTAATAAAATAAATGTTCTTAAAAGTGTGAAGAAGCTTAATATGTAAACATTCATTATTCTTCAACACGTTCTTTATCCAAATATATTAAGACAACAGGACAAGACTATACCTTGGTAGAAACGTTTAAGTTATTAAAATATTTTTTTTGGTATATATACCCCAGTGTCTTAATAAAAGTTTCTCAGTTATCTTTCTTCCTCGATTTTAACACCCTTTTTATTTTCAAAAAAAAATGCCTACTTCCAACAACTCCCTCGAATTTGTTATGGACAAGCACTGTGAAATGGTCAGTCACAGCAGTTCTGCAGACCAAACCCAGTTTTCTGGAATTGCTTTCGATCCCTTGTGCGATTTCAACCAAGAGATTGTCGACGGAATGCATGGAGAAGTTGTACTTCAATCTGTGACAGATGTCTTTGTCAACCATGCCGATATGGAATGGACCCGTACCTCGGCCAGAAACCCAGCAGTCTCAAACCTCCTCAGTCTCAAAAGTTTCCTGCCAACCGAAGTCAACGAGGCCACAACCAAGACAATTGTTGCACAGAAGCCAAAGACGAATCTGCCGGAGAAGGTCGATCCTGATTCTGTTCCCACTGCAGAAAGCATAGGTTGAGGTTCGTACCAAAAGTACAACCAAAACCAGGTGAACAAGCTCTTCTCCTTGGTTTTCTCGGAAAACCAGACTGCTGCTGCCGCTGCCAGGGAAACGGGGATCAATGTCCGAACTGCCCAGAACTATGTCAGGCTGGCCAGAGAGAAGATCCAGGCCAATTTTGATGCTGCCACAGTGGAGACTGATGAGTCCAATAGGCTGGAGACGATGGAGGTTGAGGAGGTTTCTGTGCCTAAAGAACGAAAACATGGCAACCAAAAGTTGTTCCAGGCGCACTCTGCTTTTTTTTGAAGTTTTTCGAAAATAAACCAGATGCTATCTTGGAACAAGCAAGGATAGCTGTCATGGAAGAATTCTCTGGATTGCAGATTACCAAATCAGCAATCCAGAAGCACTTGGTGAAGAAGTGTGCCCTGACGATGAAGAAATTGGAGAAGCTGCCTGAGAAGAGAGACGACGTCAACACAATTGAGATGAGACAAGAACGCATTTTGGAGTGGCAACAACTTGCGGATTTCAACTATCTGTCAAACTGTGTGTTCATCGATGAAGCAGGCTTCAACATGCACATCAAGAGAACTTTTGACCATTCCGTCAGTGGCACCCTGGCTAAGACAACTGTCCCGACACAGAGAGGTGTGTCTATCACCATCCTTGGTGCAATGTGCAAGAGAGGGATTGTCAGCCTCTCGTTGAAGAAACCCACTGCAGCCGCAACCAAGAAGAAGAGAAAGTTGGACATCTACACCAACGTTGAGGTGAACGGCCGAATTGGCACCAGAACCCAGCACTACCTCGACTTTCTTAGTCATACAATGGACGTTCTGGACAGCCAGGGTATGCAAGGACGTTATCTCATCATGGATAATGCTCCTATCCATAAGGCCGATGAGGTGAAAGACTTTATTTCTTCCGGTGGGTACAAGTGTGCATATCTTCCTGTGTATTCACCTTTCCTAAATCCAATTGAGGAAATGTGATCCAAGATCAAGTTTGGTGTCCACAGAGAAGAGATTACAGAGTCAGACGGGCTCATCTCAAGGATTACAGAATCAGCTAAGACTGTCACCCTTTCGGACTGTTTGGGTTGGATTAACCATGCCATTTCATTCTTTCC